TATTGATTTGAGAGCGAGAGCGAGAGAGAGAGAGAGAGAGAGAGAGCAGCGATGTGAGAGAGAAACATTGATCAGTTGCCTCCTGTAGGTGCCCTGACCAGGATCACACCTGCAGCCTTTTGGTGTATAAGACGACACTCCAACCAACTGAGCCACCTGGCCAGGGCTGAACTAATTATCTCCATATATAGAAGGCTAATATGAAAGTGTCCCCTCCAGAGTTCTACTGGGAACTGGGAATTCAATCGCTCACTATGACATGCGCTGACCACCAGGGGGTGGCAGGGAACATGGCGGGTGACAGCGGCAGCAGCAGGGTACTGAGGGAGCAAGGGAAGGGTGAGGCGGGGAAGCAGGACAGAGGGGGAACCACATGGTGGTGGCGCACAGGTGGGCAGAAGGGTGGTGAGGGAAGGAGGAGGTAGGGAGGTAGGGAGGTGGGGAACCTGATTGGCCCTGCTCATCAGCCAGGTCTAGGGACCCTACCCTGCATGAATTTTGTGCACTGGGCCTCTAGTTTTTATTATATTGATTTATAAGGAGAGAAAGCATTTTGTATAAAATCAGTAGTCTCTACTGATAACAATGCCCACATTTTCTTTAGAGTTTTAGTTAGATTGATTTTTTAGAGATGGGTGCCCCCACTGGGGCGCAGTATGAGGAAGGGATCTCGGATGGATCAAAATTCTGTCTCACCGCATCCTCCACACACTGAGTGAGGGGAAAAGTAAACATGACAATCAAAGTCAAAACAGCTCACCAGATGCCCGGGAGGGGGGTAATGCAGGGCTTGAGCGAAGGAACATTCACCTGCAGAGAATCAAGGCCGCATTCCCACTGTCTGTGTAAAGTCCTTCCTGGGTGAGAGAGCTGTGTGAATGCCTCTGTCTCCTCGTCATGCCAGAAGTTTTCCAATTATTTTGGCCACGACATATAGCTGCATAGGATGCTGCATCAGGAGTACTTAGCACATCCTTCCAAATGCAATATAGCTGCAGGATGCTGCATCAGGAGTACTTAGCACATCCTTCCAAATGCAAACTTAGCTTTAATTCCCATCTCCGAATGAACCCTCCTGAGTTTAAATGCTGTATGTATTTATGTAAATGCGTCATGAGAAAAAATAATAATTTTAGTATTACTCATCTTAAAAGTCAGTATATTTATCTAGATATATAAAAGGCTAATATGCAAAGTGTCCCCTTGGGAGTTCGACCAGGAGTTCTATCACTTGCTATGATGTGCGCTGACCACCAGGGGGCAGCACAGAATGAAGGAAGGCCCCGGCTGGCAGCCAGAAGGCCTCAATTGGCCCTGATCGCCAGCCAGGCCTAGGGACCCTACC